ATCCTGATAATCTCAAACCCAAATCGGAGAAGTGCGTCTTCATAGGATACCCAAAAGTAACTGTTGGGTACACCTTCTATCATAGATTCGAAGGCAAGATATTCGTTGCTAAGAATGGATCCTTTCTAGAGACGGAGTTTCTCTCAAAAGAAGTGAGTGGGAGGAAAGTAGAACTTGATAAGGTAATTGTACCTTCTCCCGAATTGGAAAGTAGTTCATCACAGAAATCAGTTCCAGTGATGCCTACACCCATTAGTGAGGAAGTTAATGATGATGATCATGAAACTTCAGATCAAGTCACTACCGAGCCTCGTAGGTCAACTAGAGTATGGTCCGCACCAGAGTGGTACGGTAATCCTTTCTGGAAGTCATGTTACTAGACCATGATGAACCTACGAACTATGAGGAAGCAATAATGAGCCCAGATTCCGCAAAATGGCTTGAGGCCATGAAATCTGAGATGGGATCCATGTATGAGAACAAAGTATGGACTTTGATTGACTTGCCCGATGATCGATGAGTCATTGAGAATAAATGGATCTTCAAGAGGAAGACGGACGCTGATAGTAGTGTTACTATCTACAAAGCTCGAATTGTCACAAAATGTTTTCGACAAGTTCAAGGTGTTGACTACGATGAGATTTTCTCACTTGTATCGATGCTAAAAGTCTGTCCGAATCATGTTAGCAGTTGCCGCATTTTATGAAATTTGGCAAATGGATGTCAAAACTGCATTCCTTAATGGATTTCTTAAAGAAGAGTTGTATATGATGCAACCAGAAGGTTTTGTCGATCCTAAAGGTGCTAACAAAGTGATCAAGCTCCAACGATCCATCTATGGACTGGTGCAAGCATCTCGGAGTTGGAATATATGCTTTGATAAAGTGATCAAAGTATATGGTTTTATACAGACTTGCGGTGAAGCCTATATTTAGAAGAAAGTGAGTGGGAGCACTACAATATTTCTGATAAGTATACGTGAATGACATATTGTTGATCGGAAATAATGTAGAATTTTCTGGAAATCATAAAGGAGTGTTTCAAAGGAGTGTTTCAAAGAAAGACCTCGGTGAAGCTACTTACATATTGAGCATCAAGATCTATAGATATAGATCAAGACGCTTGATATATTTTCAATGAGTACATACCTTGACAAGATTTTGAAGTAGTTCAAAATGGAACAGTCAAAGAAGGAGTTCTTGCCTGTGTTGCAAGGTGTGAAGTTGAGTAAAGACTCAAAACCCGACCACGGCAGAAAATAGAAAGAGAATGAAAAGTCATTCCCTATGCCTCAGTCATAGGTTCTGTAAAGTATGCTATGATGTGTACCATACCTATAGTGTACCTCACCATAAGTTTGGCAAGAGGGTACAATAGTGATCCAGCAGTGGATCACTGGACAGCGGTCAAAAATATCCTCAGTGGAATAAGGTAATGTTTCTCGGTAATGGAGGTGACAAAGAGTTCGTCGTAAAGAGTTACGTCGATGCAATCTTTGACACCGATCTGGATGACTCTAAGTCTCAATCTAGATACATATTGAAAGTGGGAGCAATTAGCTAGAGTAGCTCCGTGCAAAGCATTGTAGACACAAAAAATTGCTAAATACATACGACTCTAAATGTGGCAGACCCGTTGACTGAATTTCTCTCACAAGCAAAACATGATCACTCTTTGGGTGTTAATCACATAGCGATGTGAACTAGATTATTGACTCTAGTAAACCCTTTGGGTGTTAGTCACATGGAGATGTGAACTAATCACATAAAGATGTGAACTATTGCTGTTAAATCACATGACGATGTGAACTAGATTATTGACTCTAGTGCAAGTGGGAGACTGGAGGAAATATGCCCTAGAGGCAATAATAAAAGTTGTTATTTATATTTCCTTATATCATGATAAATATTTATTATTCATGCTAGAATTGTATTAACCGGAAACTTAGTACATGTGTGAATACATAGACAAACAAGAGTGTCACTAGTATGCCTCTACTTGACTAGCTCGTTAATCAGATGGTTAAGTTTCCTAGCCATGGACATGAGTTGTCATTTGATTAAGGGATCACATCATTAGAGAATGATGTGATTGACTTGACCCATCCGTTAGCTTAGCATGATGATCGTTTAGTTTGTTGCTATTGATTTCTTCATAACTTATACATGTTTCTATGACTATGAGATTATGCAACTCCCGAATACCGGAGGAACACTTAGTGTGCTATCAAACGTCACCACGTAACTGGGTGATTATAAAGATGCTCTACAGGTGTCTCCGATGGTGTTTGTTGAGTTGGCATAGATCGAGATTAGGATTTGTCACTCCAATTGTCGGAGAGGTATCTCTGGGCCCTCTCGGTAATGCGCATCACTATAAGCCTTGCAAGCAATGTGACTAATGAGTTAGTTACGGAATGATGCATTACGGAACGAGTAAATAGACTTGCCAGTAACAATATTGAACTAGGTATTGAGATACCGACAGTCGAATCTTGGGCAAGTAACATACAGATGACAAAGGGAACAACGTATGTTGTTATGCGGTTTGACTGATGAAGATCTTCGTAGAATATGTAGGAACCAATATGAGCATCCAGGTTCCGCTATTGGTTATTGATCGGAGATGAGTCTCAGTCATGTCTACATAGTTCTCGAACATGTAGGGTTCGCACGCTTAACGTTCGGTATTATGAGTTTATGTGTTTTTGATATACCGGAGGTAGTTCGGAGTCCCGGATATGATCATGGACATGACGAGGAGTCTCGAAATGGTCGATACGTAAAGATCGATATATTGGAAGCCTATGTTTGGACATCGGAATGGTTCCGGATGAGTTCCGACATTTTCTGGAATACCGGGAGGTTACCGGAACCCCCCGGGGAGTATATGGGCCTTATTGGGCCTTAGTGGAACAGGGGAGAGGAAGGGAAAAGGTGGGAGGCGCGCCCCCTGGCCCAATCCGAATTGGGTGCCCCCCCTTTCCTTCCCCCTCTCCTCCCCTTCCTTCTCTCCTACTCCTACTACTTGGAAGGGGGGAATCCTACTCCCGGTGGGAGTAGGACTCCCCTAGGGCGCGTCATAGAGGGTCGGCCCTTCCCCCTCCTCCACTCCTTTACATACGGGGGAGGGTGGCACCCCATAGACACACAAGTTGATCATTGTCTTAGTCGTGTGCGGTGTCCCCCTCCACCATAATCCACCTCGGTTATATCGTCGTAGTGCTTAGGCGAAGCCCTGCGCTGGTAGCTCCATCATCACCGTCATCACGCCGTCGTGCCGACGAAGCTCTTCCTCGACACTCAGCTTGATCGAGAGTTCATGGGACGCCACCGAGCTGAACGTGTGCAGATCGTGGAGGTGCCGTACTTTCGGTACTAGGATCGGTCGGATCGTGAAGACGTACGACTACATCAACCGCGTTGTGATAACGCTTCCGCTTACGGTCTACGGGGGTACGTGGACAACACTCTTCCCTCTCGTAGCTATGCATCGCCATGATAGATATTGCGCGTGCGTAGGAATTTTTTGAAATTACTGCGTTCCTCAACAAATAATATCTGGTAGGAACACCTTTAGGCAAGAGGCAATCATTTTTGCAATAATTTTATACACCACATTGCACGAACTAATTGGTCTAAACTGGGTTACCTTCTCCAGAGAGTTGACTTTTGGTATCATCACATTCGTAGTATCATTCCAACCAGATGGGATAGTGCAAGTGTTTACTGCTTTCAAAACCTCCTCGGTCAGATCATCTCGTAACATTGTCACCAAAACCTTTTATAGAAAATAGCATGGAGCCCATCAGGCCCTGGGCTTTTAAATCCCCAATGTTGAACAAGGCTTTACGAATATCATCAGCCGTATACGGAGAAAGGAGGGCATTGTTCATCTCAGTAGATACTCTCCTCTTTACCACTGATAACACATCCTGATTAGGTTGCTCAATCTCTAAGGTAAAAAGCTTTTTAAAATATTCTGTGATATGATCCTTCAATTCCGTATCTTGTCGCCCGACCTCAGTATCATCGAGAAGTTTTTTAATATTACTTTTCTTTTTCCTAGCAGTAGCTGCATTATGGAAGAAGGAAATATTTTGGTCTCCGTGCATCAACCAATTTTCTCTACCTCTTTGTAACCAAAAAATCTCTTCTTGATCCAACAAATTCTCAATGAGAACTACAATTTCTTTCTGCGTAGAAAGGGAATTTGTATTCATAGGGCCACGCTTCAATTTCTCTAGCTCTTTTTTAATTTATTAATTCTCCATTTTGGTTCCTTCAAGATCTCACGGTCCTAGGAATGTAGATCAGCGTGTACCGCTCGGGTCCTGTCTGCGAGCGTCGGGCCAATACTAGCCAGCTTTGCCTTCTCCCAAGATGCCTTGACAATTTCACTAACAGTTTCTTCTTTAAACCATCTGGCTTCAAAAATTTTAATACCCCTATTCAGCGGCCGAAACATATTACCGTCAAAATAATCCATATCTAAAACTAACGATTGGTGGTCAGAATATACATGGTTTTCATTAATCACAGCCGCCTAAGGATATTTATGCGCCCATTGTACATTACATACTGCACGGTTAAGTTAGGAAAATCTAGTTTCGCATGGAAGTTGGAACTTGCGATGCAGCCCCCAAGGATGCGTCGCCCTCTCTCCCCGGCTGCATCGCTCGTCTCTCCCCCATGCATGTCGTCGTTTCGTGTGCTCATGGCCCAAACTGGGCAGGAATCAACCGCGCGCACGAACGCCTCTTCGCATCCGGCAGTTGCCAACACCACGGTGCCCATCTCTACGTGAATCCGTAACGGTTACAGTGTAACCGCTAAGCTACCCCCATTCACGCTCACGCCCCTTCCAAAATGCCGTTCCCACTTCGCCTCTCGATCTCCTCCCTACTTAACACTGGCCTCCCCTCCTCCTCTGGCCGATCGTTCGCAGTTGACAAGATCGTTCCAGCAACATTTTTTACAAAGCTACTCCACGAACGGACAATGGCGGCGTCGGGGGCTGGGCGCGCGAACGCCGCGCGCGGCACGAAGGCGACGGAGGATGTTCTACGGATCGTCGGGACCAGCGAGGCGCTGGATTCGGACGACATCGAGTACATCCTCGACGACTATATCAGAACGTCGTCATGCATCGCGGCGAAGCGCGGCCGGGTGCAGGACCAGATCGCCGCGGCGTCCCGCGGGCGCGGCAAGCGCGCCGGCAACCGGCGGGCGCCGGTGCCGGCCGAAGAAGCCTACACGAGGAAGGGCCTGGGGGCCGACCGGAAGCGCCTCAGGGCGCAGGCCGGTAAGGCCAAGAAAGAGCAGCAGCGTCAGGAGGCCATGTGTGGCGAGTTTCTGGAGTTGCTCGCCGACGCGAGGCAGAGGGACGGGCTGCGCCGCTAGAGCGACCCTTCCCCGTCAGCACTACTACTAGTAGTTATTTAGTACTAAGGGCCTCCCTGCTTCTTCTCCCCCGCTCCGTACGTGTCGCTAGAAAGCAGTATAGACGACGAAGGACATGACAATATGTTGTCTGTGTTGTATGGTCATATGTGGATGAATGTTTTTCAACGACGTTCCGTACGTGTTCTCCGTCGCTGTGGAATGCATCTATCAACCGTAGGCTCTGTGTATGGTTTAATTTAGCCCGGGCAGGCAGGAAGCAACATGATCAATCAAATTATGTAGTAGTAGTAGTAATTCTCTTGTTTCTGCTCGCATGAATGTGTGTCGTCCTTTTTCGGTGCACTGCAGGAACATTCTTGCTTCTAGGCTTTTGGCTATTGTTATGAACATTCTGGGGTTTTCAAGCGTTCGTGCATATTTTTCCTAAGTGACATGTTTTCTTGCGGTTTATAAGTTATAAAATGTGTTATGTGGTTGAAGGTACAATAATTCATCTTCTTTTCTCTTTGCAGTAGAAAGGCCAAGGAATTTCATAAGTATAAGGTAGCACCGCGCCACACACTGACACACGCCTCTCATCGCCGTCAAGCTAAGAGCAACGCTAGCAGCCCTGCAGAAAAAAAAACGCTAGCCGATTGGCTGCCAAGCTTGTGCGCAAATTCAGATTGTCCAAACCACAGCCTCCACAATTTTTGTCACATGCATTCAAAAATTCTACTTCATCCGGCACAGACTTTGGCCGGATCAACATCGAACAAATTTAACAACAGTGCAAACCAGTTAAGTTCATATACAAGGGCAAAAGTTGTAGCTTGTCGACATTATACATACATGTAGCGGCATTTTTTTACTACCTAAAATGTGGAGCATACACTACCATACAAGATACTTGAAATATAATCTAGCTTGCGTTGGACTTGTCGGTGCGGGCAGAGGCCTTGGAGTCTTGGGCAAAGGCGCGGGCGGCGGCTTTGCCGACATTAGCTGGCCTACCATTCTGAGTAGACCAGGGTGGGCTGCCATGTTTGCCACGCATCCTCCTTGTCTGCTTGACGGTGACGCTAGTGGAGGCGTGGTCCAGATGGCGCACTCTTTCTTGACATCCATTTGCCGCCACTTGTGTCATGGTGGTGTAGATCTCTGCGAAGCTCGCTTGTTTGTCAAAGACTAGGGCAGGACGGGAATCCCACGATTCCCTAGTTGTGAGAGCGCGGCATTGGCACGGCCATGGTGGTAGATGACTTCCGCGGAGGTCATGTTCCTGGACTCTGCGAGCATGCGCTGGAGGACTGGGTCCTCGTCCTTCGACTCGGGGATTTGATGTGGGTCATCATCTTAGTGTTGTCCTCCTCTATAACGTTGTCCTCCACCTCCATGGCAGTCGTGGCCATGAAGAGGGCTTCGAAGGCAGTCGTCCCCTATTAGTTCCATAGCTCCACCTCAGTTGGAACCCGACGGAGCCATGACAATTACCTAAGGCTAAGTGGATTGCGAGGCGGCATAGTGGCGGTGGGCGGAAGGAGCTGGAGATGTGACGAGTGTCTCTAGATGCCTCGCGGCAAGCGTTTTATATACGATAATGGTGTGCGGCAGGGGAAGGCGTGGGCAGCGAAAATTCTCCTCTGAGAAACTACTCCGGCGACATGAAAAATGGATGGCAATGGGTCGAGAAGGGGTATTAATGGGTGCGTTTCTCAGTCGAAAACGCGTATGCGGGAGTATACTCCATTGGCAGGAAAGAGGAAGGATTTGAAAGTACACTCCCGCCACGTCGGTTGAGTTTAGAGTTATAACAGCCTCTCTTTTTAAAAAATGAACAGCACCTTAACCTTCAAATATGAGCTCTGTTTGTTGTTGTTGTTGTTGTTGTTGTTGTTTTTGAGACAGGGGCGACTAAAGATTCTTAAAGTTGTTGTAAGCCCATCTGAGGTAAAATCACATGGGCTGCTAAAGGGTCCGTGTGTGTGCGCTCACTCACCTTCTTCCTTCCTGTCTCCAAAAACAAAAACAAAAAAACCTTCTTCCTTCTAACGGCCCATCCCGTACCTCTTCCCCTCTCCCACCTATCTCGGCCCAGCCGCCGTAAACCCAACCGAGGATCCCACCGCACCTCGCCGTCGGCGGCTCACCGGAGACACGAGTGCCCCGCTACTGCCACCCATGGCGTCCCGCCGCGTCCTCCACCTCCTAACGGCATCTCGAGGCATCTCCTCAACCCCACATCTCGCCTCCCTCGGGTGGATCAACAAGATCAAGGACACCTTCACCGGCAAGAAGGCCGCCGACTCACCCTTCCCCCCGTCTGAATCCTTCAATCTCAACAGTAAGTAGTCGTCCGAGATGTCCGGTTCCTCCTCTCTTGGTACAGTGGGTGGTCTGATTCGGGCCCTCCGGATTTGCAGTGTTCGCGGATTCGATGGAGATGGCGAGGAAGGTGGGAACTTTCAAGAACTTCGTGTCAGGGAGATGCAGCGAGGCCACCGTCGTAGCCGCCTGCGAGAAGCACGCCGCCGTTCTTCGCTACCTCGCCACCATCGACCCAACCGGCGAGGTATATACAATGATCATAGAGCGGATGTCATTTCTTATGGTACATACAGCATGCTTTGCTAGTGCGGCGTGGCGGGTTGGTTCATTGTGTTGTGTGTGCTGCTCTTTGTTCTGCAGAAGCTCAAAACCAGTGACAAAATTAGTGCCACCAAGCATTGCAACTGCACAATTGCTGATGTGGAGCACATACTGGCCAAGTACACATGGGCTAAAGATGCCCAAAAGAAGATTGAAAAACTCAAAGAAGAAGGAAAGCCAGTGCCAAAGACATTTACTGAGGTAACTCCGGTCTAACAGTTGTAACTGTCGGATAGGGGTGCTAATCCTTTTGTTTTGCTGGTCATTGAAGAGTGGATGAATTACATGTGACGGTATAAAAATAACGAAACATGGGGGTGTGGGGTGGGTAGGACAGGGGAGAGGGTATTAAGAATTAATAATATGCTAACCATTTTTTAGAGAATATCAATGTAAGAGGATCAGCTAAAGATAAGTAGCCCAGTTTAGCCATCATAATGTGAATGATTAGGTCAATACAGGATATGGTGATTTCTTTCCTCATTTTTGAAGCAACAGTTGTCTTTTCAGATTTGAAGCAACAGTTATGTGCTGATGTTTGATATGCCTAATGTTTAATGCTGGATTGTATCACCTTTCTAGGTGCAAAATCTAATGGGTAATACAGCCTTTGACCTTGGAAGAGCTAATCTGGAAAAGAGTGGTCAGATAAGTAGGAATGCTCTCTGCCCATGCGGTTCTAAGAAACGATATAAAAAGTATGATTCTTCCATGCCTGATACTGTTTTATTAATGATGTTCTGTTGCCGAGTTTGTTGGTGTCGTGTTTCCTTCGAAAATCAGATTGCTGCAAATTACATGTGCACTTACATCTTTTCTTTTAGATGGACAACCTACAGAGAATGTAGTTGTAGAAAATCTGTAAGCGCACGGTTACTACTATCTTAGCAAAAGGTAGATAGAGATTTTTCAGTATGTACAGGATTTTGTTACTTGGCAGGGCTCCTGTCCTTTGTTCACTGAAAATTGGAGCGAGCAAGTTTGGCCCATTTGGTAACTTCTTTAGTTTGTATCTATCCTCCACGAGTGAAAAGGTGAGATGCTAGGCAGTTGATACCTAGCACGTCATTCTTGTGCATTAAATACTAAAATGGTGTTTCACTTGCTTGAACGTATAAGTAGAACTCCAAATCCTGATTGCTCCATTGCCACACATTGCCATACTCCACTTAGGTTAACCTAACCTTTTTTTTTTGTGATAGATGTTTGGTTCCTAACATAATCCACATCTCACACATATGCTTTTACCAAGACTTGTAGTGTGTGGCGACCAATTTATTCGCCAGAACTTAGGTGTAGATAGATCCAGCCTTCCTTCTTCTCTTCTCCTCTTTGTAGATAGATCCAGCCTTCCTATTTCTTGTGCGAGTTCATATTCTTACCAAAATAATGTGCTGTTATGTTTCTTGTCTTGTGATAACACTCTTTTTGCTTCATGAAATATGTAGGTGTTGTGGGGCTTCTTGAGGTGAAAACCCATGCTTTCCTTTTGGTTGCTAGCGCTGACTGGGGCAGAGTTCTGCTCTGCTGTGATCAAGAAAAGCACGTCGGGATTCTCAACCTAGACAGCGAGACTGCCTCAGTGGCTGAAAGAGCCAAACTTAGTTGTTGCAAACCTGGCTGCGAAACTTGTAAAGCGCCATAAGCGGCTCTGTACTATGGGATAAACATTTTCCTAAACCCTGTGATGTCTTGCCTTAGTTAATTTGATTTGCTTATGCAGACAGTTCAAAGCATCCGCGGGCATGGAAGCCTGATGTTTCAGCCTTCCTATTGGTCAGTTTATTGAAGTTCTATGTACTTTGAGGAGCTGATATTCTTGCATCTGAATAAAATTACAGGAGATTTTGCGCATCCTGGCAGTGTTACACTCTCCCTTTGGGAAACACTAGCTTCTGTTCTACTTTCTTTTGTGATTGCATATTTGGATGACACCATTGCTTTATGGGTGGTACTGGAGAGTGCATCATGTCATGTGCACCTGACCCCCACGTCAATTGCCTTGGGTTAATAACAGATAACTTAGATCACATGATGTAAACAAAATCCAGCAAATGGCGTATGAGGGCATTTTTAAGTTTTGAATATTGTAAGTATGAAAATAAAACTTTAAAATCATCTTCTTTCAAATTATGAAAATAATTGGAGAAGTCTCTAGTATTTAGCACAACCTAAAATTGAATATAGTTGACATTGTTTTGAAAGCAAACGATGTCAGATCCAGGTGAAGACTCCCACCACTTAACAAGGCACATTTTTCCTTGGTCAGCAACTAACTAGTAGATTTTGCTTCAGTAATTCGATCTCAAGTTGCCACTCTTACAAGGGTGCCTCTATACCAAAACGAACTCTCCTCCCCACTACGATCTCCCAGTGGAAAATAGAAGAAACAATACAGCCTCAAAACCAAGGTAACATCAGAAACCGGTTGCTTCTCAGGGCGTGACTGTCATATCCGTTCCATTCAAGACAGGCAACGTATATATCGAGGTACAGGGATATCTACAGAGCAAAACTAGACCATCTTCAACTAATCCAATCTTTATTTGCTAGGCCGATCCCAAGTCGTCTCGGAAGTGAGGTTGTTCCCATAGTACACTTGCTTCGTAGACTCGTCTATGTATGCCTGCGAGCAAAGAACATGTTGCGTTAAAAAAAAATCATAGCTATACTTTGAATTAGATTGTCAGCAAGAAACATGTATTTATTGGAAACTGAGATGCAGCATTCAGTCTGGATGTTTTAGCTAGTATAGCAAAAAAAAATCAAGTGTATGGAACCAGGTAAAATACTAACCTGCCACCCAGAAGGAAAACCCTTGGAGAGCTCTGAGAGATCAGGCTCCCCTTTGTGTTGTTCGGCAGCTGCACGAATAGGTTCAGTCTTTGCTTCCTTCTTTGCTTCAGCTCTTTTGCGTTTTACACGGTCACGCCTACAAAAATGATGAAGATTAGCAAGTTGAGCTAGAGTTACAAACAAGAACCCCAGTAAATCTAACAAAAGATTAAATGTAGGTACATAACATTTGTAATCCTAGAAATGACATGGTCCACCACAATCAATGCTGTAGAGAAGTCTATAAGCAAGTTATACAATCTATATTATTTTTAAGTTAAGACTCAGAAATGATAAATTTGAGAAAGAGGAAAATATGCCAGAGGCCAGTACTCCCTCCGATCCATATTAATTGTCGCTGATTTAGTACAACTTTGTACTAAACCAGCAACAATTAATATGGATCAGATGGAGTAATACCTTGTTGTAAATACGAAGTATCAAGTTATTCAAGTCAAACGGCATATGGTGAAGGAACAATACCAGTCACCACCAAGGGGAACAAAATTAGCATTTTCCTTGGCTTCTCCACTAGCTATTTGTTGCTTACGCCACCCCTGAAATTAACGAAACTGATCAAATCCAAAAGACTTCAGAAGCATTTGTCATGGCGTATATGTTCTCAAGAGAGATGAAAAGAGTTACATCTATTTCCTTCCGGCGTTTCCTTTCTAGGTACTCCAAAGCATCTTCAGGCTCCTCTTCCTCTTCATCACGAAGCTCCTCCTTTGCAGCTTTCCACTGTAATAGTGAAATAAAAAAAAAGTTGCTTTAGCAAAGGTAGATTAATAAGGAAACAATCATTATACATCAACACTCACCTTGTCTTAAGCCTTACCAATTACCATGTAAACAGATTGCTCTGCCTTTAAAATAAGAAATGATAAACATGAGACAAAATAGTCAGGAAACACTGTCACACTCCCACTTGCATGAGTTGTTTTTTTCTGGACGACCTATATTGTGCACAACAAAATAAACTGGCCAAGAACAGTGTGCTCTCTTGTTAATGACATAACCAAGAGTATGTCTCAACGACTAAGTACACACAATTAGCAGTAATGCAAATCATGCAGAGTGTTAAATTTCTTCATTAATGTCAAGACACCACACTTGGGGGCAGTGGATTGGTAGGGTAGGAGAGAGCATAAATGGTCACTATTTTAACAGCAGCTTTGGGAGGTCGGAGAGATACCTTATCCACCAGACTTGAGACCTTCTTATTAGATCTCAGTGATGATGCAACAGCAACAGGTCGCTTCTTAGTACGAGGAACTGCAAATCAGTGCAAATGTCAAAACTAAAACAACTATAAGCTAGTAAGATGAAGTGTCCTTGCAAAGAATAATAAAACTACCTTTAGTCTGATTAGTGGAGCTAGTAGAAGCTTGAGTAGAACTTCCATGTACTGTTGGTCCTGAAGATACTGCTCCTACTGATTGGCTCAAAGACGCAACTGTGGGCTCCTTGGATATCACTTTATCAGACTCCACAGTATTCACATTACTATTTGCAACAAGGGAGGCCAAGCTTGTTTTGTTATCTAATTCACCACTAGAAATGGCAGAGGTTGATGAAGCATAGTATCCAGAAGATTCAACCGCTACTTCAGTGGCAGCCATAGTGACGGAAGGATAGCTATAATAAGAACCTGGTACTGGGGGGATGGATGTGGTCTCAACAGGAATAGATACGCCACTTGCAGACAATGGTGCATAGTAAGAATGCTGCTGTGAATGAAGAATATGAGAATCGCTTGCTTGCATATAGTAGTTGGCATTGGTGCCATCTGTACCAGCAGCAGGATAGTACTCCATTCCTGGAAGCGTATAACCCAAGTTTGCTTGATCTCCATATGGCTGAGGAAGTGTATCAGCATTAACAAATGACACAGCGGGCTCTTCAGGCTCAGGAGGAGGTGGAGGAGCTGGTTCATTCTCAGGTGGTGGAGGTGGAATCCATTCCTCTTCTGGTGGTGGTGGTGGAGGAATGTCATTATCCTGTGGGGGAGGAGCAGAATCCTCCAATGATGACAAAGCTGGTGATCGCACTTGCTCTGATGAAGGATGCTCCTTATTTGCCATAGAAGTGGAACCGCCCTGCTCTTCAACACCTTCTTCATCGACCTCCATTTCCACGTCCATATCTTCATCACTATCTGATTCAACTCTTAAAATAGCTGCTGCCACACCTTGTGAGTTCTGAACAGATGATGTTGTACATGGTTCCTCAACCTTAATATTTTCATCGCCAGTACCTATTCCCAGAGTGCTAACATCAACCTTCAAATGCTCACCCTCAGAGGGTGCCATAACTTCAGCTTCATTAGGTGCTTTGTGTCCTGCATCCACTGTCTCCCGATATCCATGTTTGGTGGTGTAGCTAGCTTCAAACTTGGAAACTGAAAGTTCTAGTTGCTTAAGGTGCACCTCAGCATGCAACCACAACGGAAGTAAAGAAGATCCATACGAGGAGAGGGCATTACAGTCTGCTATTCGTATCTCAATTTCTCTTTTTATCAACTCAAGACTGTCAATGGCAACATGTGGCCTGCATGATGACATGGAAAAATTAGTTACGCAGTTCTGTGTAGAGGAATGGTTGAAAAGGGTAAACTGAAATGGCAAAAGGATGATAAAAATAACAAGCACCTTTCCAGCAGCTTCAATCTTTGCAGTAAATCCTCACCATATTTTGCAAGCTGCAAGGGGTCAATGTCCACTGTCTCATGACTAGCAACGGCTCCAGTGTAAGCATAAGGATCATGAGTATAAGTTCCCATAGCAGTATTGGTTGCTGTGCCATTTCCAACAGACACGTCACTAGGATATGCTTCGACATTACTGTGGGGAAGGACATGTGCTTGAGCTTCGACAGAGTACCCCATATGAGTAGGCACAGATGCAGAAGTGACTCCATCTGCAGCAACTACTGAAGCTAATCCATTAGGAATCTCCCAAGAAGTTTCTCCTGTAACTGTGTTCCAGTAGTAGCACTGATTACTCTGTTCATGCATTATAGCCTTCCAATTCCCACCAATGTCACCAACAATTTGCATGCCAGATGAATCTGGGACAGCTTCCATTGCTGTCACACACTCATTTTCCAGAGTTGGATCAGGGGCAACAGTAAATTCCTGAGCAACGGTTTCTGTGATAATTTTGACATCATCAGCTTGAGATACCTCCTGCTGAACACTAACAGAAGCAGGCAGTTCACTATCTGCATCGCCGTTATCCCCAGTTATATCACCCTGATCATGAATAACCTGAAACAAGCGAACAAATTTCATCGCAAGACGACCTGAGCTCAAACTTCTTATCTGAATAATCTTCTCTCTAAGAAAAGATACTATACTTGAAAGAGAATCATACGGGTGCTTAATCCTTCCAATCTACAGAATACAAATCATGAACTATTTGGAGGCTTCAGCTAATATATCAAAATGGGTTCAGCATATTTGGGGCTTACAATACAATATACAAGAATCTTCAGATTAAATGGTTAGCACAACAAAGTTCAACCTGTTTGGTCTTGCATAAGAAAGTTCAACCTCAACCTGTTTGGTCTTATAGGGTACAAGAGAATAAATAGGAGATTCAATTACCTCAGCACTTGCATCTGTTGGGCTCCCCTTAGTTTCACCAATGGGTTGATCTGTTGCTACTTCATCCTCTTCTTCATCATCACTATATTGCCCAAGCAACGCTAGAGGATTTTCCTTCTTATCTGAAAAAATAAATTCATCATTAAAAACGCAAAAGCTTTCATGTGACACAATCTATATTGCAGTATTTTCTGAAGTATATGTGAGGATCGACTCAGGTATAAAAGTAGAACAAGTTTGTTAAAATTACTTTAAAATGCACCATGGCGGCCCAGCAATAATTATAAAACCAGGTTAGGAGCTACAATATAAAGAAAAGAGACATACGAACCGAGGAGGCAACAATCATCCTGAAATCCCCACGCTCAGATGCTGCCAAAAGAGAAATTACCGGAAGGAACACACCCAGTTTTGACAGTGGCAGCCTGATCTGAAGAATTTACTTAATGTTCCTTGCAGGCCGGGAACCCTACATGTGCCTCAAACCAGAAATTTGGAGCATACACATGCTTGAAGAAAATTCCAAATTTCCACCAAATTTACATTCCATAGGCATGTGCCGTCTTTACATATCCCTTGGAAGGAAATTGATTGAACCCACCTGACGAAGATGGTGAAGTGGGAACACCAGTTTGCTGCCCACGGTTTTCCTCTCCTACTCCCTCTTTCATAGATGCCTCCCCTGCAATGCACGTTTGAAGTATCAGCAGCCAGCTTGTTCAAGGTCTATTGGATATTTGGAGTCGCATTTTATGCTCGGTAGTTATACTACTGTAATCATATGTTGCTACTCATAATCTTGGGCATTCAAAAGTGCAACAAATAGCTGAGCATTAAATCTCTACAATTATAAGGAGTGGGTTCCAAAAGAATTGTTAACCATCCTTCCTTGATTCCATTTTTTTACCAGAACTGGCAATATCGCATGAGGTGATGTCATACATCACCTCTGTTGATTCAGTTGGGGCAATGTAGAGCAAATGCAGAACCCAGTAAGCATCAGGTCTCTCCATAACCAAACCCTTGTTTTGGGCTAAGCAGCAGCATTTATCTAACGAGGGATGTGACATAGCTGTACATGCACAAATTCACAAATTTCATTACCAAATTTTATTTGTTTCCTCAGGTTATATTTTAAGTTTTTATCTCTGATCATTGAAATGGAAATTGCGTGCTCCTTTTCAGTTATTTGTCATACAACAAAATATTGAACTGCTAACTTCAAACTCCAAAAATGCACATTGATCTTTACTAGTAGTTTTGGTGGATCTCGCCCCAGTAATCTAACATTATAACCTTGAACACTTATCTTCCTATAGTAGAAACATCTTGGATTATGGTCTGAATCTGATACAAGTGCAGCATATGGTCATATGGTGTGATTTAGGAACTGCACTGGACATGTTTTTCCCCGACTCAGGCAATTCCCTATATCCCTGAATCAGTAATAACTTGTTTAACACACGGTGAAATAATGCAACTGAAAGTGACAATGAAACTCTATATAGAGCACACAAGTTTTAAGGTCGGCCTAGGCCAGCAAGCCACTTCTTCTCCTTTTGTTATAAGCTCTAGCCTCACTGCTCCTTCTGATGTGTCAATTACCACGTCCAGATTCTACTGGTAGAGCTGGTGATTCAAGGTGCATCCACTTAATCAGGATGGACAGATTCAGGCAGCCAAACAATCACGAACCATGCAACAAAATAACCTTCCGAGTGTTCAGAAATACTCCCTCCGTCCCAAAATTCTTGTCTTAGATTTGTCTAAATACGGATGTATCAAGTCACATTTTAATATTAGATACATCCGTATCTAGACTAATCTAAGAATTTTGGGACGGAAGGAGTATAAACTAACCGAGTTCCATTCAAGCCGGCTCCGATTGCAAGCTAGATAATCGACGCGATGAAACCAGCAACTAAACGCACATCAGTCGCGGGTTGACCATGCACAGACCACGGAGGAAAACCGAACCCGGGGCAGGGGCGGAGAACTCACCGGGGGAAGGATCGAGGAAGAGGTCGAGCTTGACCCTGCGGCCCGAGGCCGCCTTGGCCGCCAGGCGGCGCTCCTTCCGCCTCCCCATCGCCGCTGCCCCGAGCAGTCGGGCGCGCGCCGGGGTGGAGATGGACGTCTTTTTCTAGGGTTAGGGTATGGAGGGTGACGTCGGGGTGTTTTTACGGCGAAAAGGGAAGCTGTGCGAATCAGGAGGAGAGGCGAAGTGGAAGGCGCTTCGGTGGAGCTGTGCTCTGCACGTGCTCCGTGCTCGCGTTTCGCTTCGGCGGACAAGCGCGGTTGGGTGGGCACGGTTGTCTCGGTCTAATCGTTTTCGGGGTAAATTCGGGGTCGGGAAATTCGATTTGGAAATCAAATTGGGCGTTCGAGTCACAGCAATTCCCACAAACTTTTTTTTTTAGCATCAGTACAGACACAAGCGCTCATATACACGCGCATACACTCACCCCTATGAACGCACATACGCACACCCTACCCCTATGAACACCCCCGAGAGACTGAGCCGGCATATCATCTTGAAATTTACGAAGTCACCGTAGACGTCTCCTCGTCGACGGGAACGTCTCCTCCCACTGAAAGCGCATCGCCGGAAATCCTGAAATAAATCCAGGAATAATGCGATCACCAGGATTTGAACCCTGATGGATTGGGGATACCACTGTCCACCTAACCAACTCAACCACAGGTTGATTGCAATGTAGATAATGGTTTAGTTCACATATTTACAAGAGGTGATCAATCCATCATTAAACTTGCACTCTGCGTGAAGATTTAGTCCACAGCTAATCAGTAGCGGGCAGTTGGTGGCATGCTAGCCTCGTCTTGACACTTTTGTGAAAATTCCCTTGACATTTCTGGAAATCACGCATGCGTATATAAGAGAGGCGTGCTCGGGCGCACCACCCGAGCACGCACGCACGCATCACTCTTCTCTCAGGAGCAACGACGTCCGTGCTACACGTGCGCGAGCACATGGGAGAGCTCGCCTCCACCGCCGGCAGCGTCGCTCTCGTCATCGTCCCTGCTGGCCGCGACAGCCATGAAGGAGGGTGAGGAGCGGTACGTCAAGGTGGCGTTCAAGGTTCTTCCGGGTGAAGCCGGGCTCCATGGCCGGCACTGCCCACTACCACCACTTCCTCGACTCCTGCTTCCTCTGCAAGCAGACCATCTCCCGCGACCGCGCCATATCTTCATGTACAAGTACGCGAAAATCCACTTCTACTTCTGCAGCCGATTCCCTTTTGATCCCACGAGGAGATTACGGGCGATTAATTCTTGATGTTGACGCGGGCGTTGGTTTTGTTTAGAGAGATATGTTATTGAGCGAGACAATCGAACAAATGATTGAACCAACTCTTTATTGGCGATGATGTACATTTATATACAGTCAGAATGATTGTCTCCGAGAGGCGCAACGGTTAGAGGCATCGTTCCAAGGAACCGTCGTGGTGGTTGCTAAAAACCTGGCATGACAAACACGAGGAAAAAGGAGCGGGGATTATCCCCTATAACCGCAAGGGTAATATATTTTTTAACACTCCCCTAATCATTGCTAGATTTTATGATAGTTCATCATCTTATTAACTCTCCTCAAAAACTCTATGGGGAAAAATATGAGGAAAATAGTGTTTAATATGTTGCTAAAACTCCTGCAAATCCAATGAAAAAACAAGGAGAAAATAATGCAACATATAATAGTTATTGTCTCATTTTAACTCAATATGTGAGAACCGTAGAGTTTGGAGAACAATAAACATGTTGTATATAATTTCCTAAAACCCAAGTGGGGAAAACATAAAGTGTGACATATGATCTCATGTTGATATTACCTCACTAAAAACATTTATAAGAACCAATAAAATAAACACATAATGGGGGAAATAGTATAATATAATGCTTTAAACATGAACAATTCAGGGAGATACTCCCTCTGATTCTTGCAAATTTCGAAGCCATCACATACCAATTATGTGAACATACTTCTGGAATGTAGAAGTCGGTGAAGACTTGGTGAACAAATTAGCCGCATGATTTGACTTGCAAGATATACAATATATAGGGATATTGCTCATTATGTAACCTGTTTGCATCCGGCAACACAAAACAATATTATCTTTAAGATAATGGTTGGTGGATGTAACCACGAGGTCTGTTTCAAAGACTTTCATGGGATGGCTACCACACCTAACAGGGAAACAAAGCTTGTCTATGATCTGACATAGTAGGGATCTGATTTGTGTATCCAATGATATTGGTATCCAGATTTCTCTGAACATGAAAAATGTGGCATCCCGCCTCAGAGCAACCGGTTTACCTTGCATTGCCAGCCTAGAGATCTAGTTTTTTGGCAACACACAACAACTTGGTATAGAAAACAACCGCTTTATTGATGCTAGCGGAAACATAGGTTCGATATTACATCAGATAGCGAGGCCAAGCGGCACACACGGTGCGGCTGAACAATATGTACATTATTTAATGAACATGAAGGGGGCTCGATCACGACAACTGCGCGGCACCGGAACGACGACGAAGCGGAACTCCATAGCACAGGGACACCGATGTGGACACCACTCTGATCTGGTAAGACTTTCGCGAAAGCTGGCATGACACGCCTGGTCAGTACATTGAATGTACTTGCAAGCTCACAACAAGTAAAAGCATAATGACAAACAATAACATGACAATTTAGCAGGTTAAATGCAAGACTACAACATACCACTCATGAAGTGAACATGCTTGTGCACCAAGTCCCTCGGTCTGGCTTACCGTACGGGTTACCTCGTAACCAATCTCAATAATACGGTGATCACTCCCGGATCACAAAGGAAACCAACTCTTTGGTTCCAACAACAACCATCTTCATGGTTTCAACAATCTCATCACATAACCAGTGCCAACCATATCACTTTGGTGTGCAAGATTAAATTATTTATGTTGATCCATGGTGTGACCTACTACGAACTGGGTCCGTAGCCGAGGACGCGACTATCGATAGATTTAACACAGACTCTACAAAGGTTAGCACACTGTACCCACACCACGGAATCCATGGCCTTGAACTCCCATTCAGGTGGACCAACGACATTCCGACAGAACCAACCCATTGCCATGACACTCTCCCGCCCACTCCGACCAACTCCCCTTTGGGCTAAGTCATGGGTGGCCCCCGATGTCAACCCGTGACATCCACGGCCCCCGTCGTGGCAAAACATAAATGGTCCCAAACGGGGACAAGGTACCATAACAACAACGGGCACACAAAGGTTATGTCTGCTTACCGGGCCAGGGTACCGCACGCCCATAACCTTCCCTCATTGGAGGCACCGACCAGACGCATGATAACAGACCGAATAAGGGCCTTCCCATAAAGGCAAGTGTGGTTGCACTGGGAAGCTCGATTCGGTGGCACCATGACCTGATCAACATTATGTTCAAGTTGAATTATCATCAGGTTTAACTTGAAATAAAAGAACTCGAGTCATAGTATGCCATGAACATGCAGCTATCTGACATGCACTATATCCACATATCACTGAAATGAAAAGGATCAACATCATAGAATCATTCTGCATGCACTACTAATCACTTTAGAGACACTGGTTTTAACTCAATCATTTTTAGTTATGACATTAGCATGGTGAAAATAATAAACCATTTATGAAAATAATACCGATCATAACCAAACCATGTGAAATGATCGATATAGTTGACTAGAGGGGGGTGAATAGGTAACTAACAATTTTTAGCTTTTCTTTACCAATTTAAACTTTGCATCAAAGTAGGTTGTCTAGATAAGCAACATGCAACAAGGTGAGTAATCTATATGATGCAACAACAAAAAGTACACAAGCAAACTAAGGATACAACACAAAAAGCTTACACAAGTAAAGGCACGAGATAACCAAGAGTGGAGCCGGTGAAGACGAAGATGTGTTACCGAAGTTCCTTCCTTTTGAGGGGAAGTACGTCTCCGTTGGAGCGGTGTGGAGGCACAATGCTCCCCAAGAAGCCACTAGGGCCACCGTATTCTCCTCACGCCCTCACAGAATGCGAGATGTTGTGATTCCACTATTGGTGCCCTTGGAGGCGGCGACCGGACCTTTACAAACAAGGTTGGGGCTCTCTCCACAACCGAATTGGAGGCTCCCAACGAAACCACGAAGCTTCATCACAATGGAATATGGCTCCGAGGTGACCTCAACCGTCTAGGGTGCTCAAACACTCAAGAGTAACAAGATCCGCAAGGGATGAGTGGGGCAATCAAATTTCTCTTGGTGGAAGTGTAGATCTGGGCCTTCTCAACCAATCCCTAGAAAATCAACAAGTTTGATTGGGTAGGGAGAGAGATCGGGCGAAAATGAGCTTTGGAGCAACAATGGAGCTTGGGGAAAAGAGGTAAGTCAACTTGGAGAAGAATACCTCCTTTTATAAGTGGGGAAGTCAATCCAACCGTTACCCTTGCTCAGCCCCGCACAGGGCGGTACTACCGCTGTGGCCAGCGGTACTACCGTTCCACCTCGCGGTACTGCCGCGTAGTAAGGCACAGAGAAGGACGTGGACCCAGGGCAGTACTACCGTGGTGGTAAGGGCGGTACTACCTCCTAAGAGCGGTACTTCCGCCTCTACTACCGCAGCTAGTGCCGCAAAACCCGACACGAGAGGAGAACCCTTGAATCGAGGCGGTAGGAGCACGGAGCCGCAACGGTACTATGCTGAGAGGTCTAAGCGGTACTACCGCTGCGGAGCGGTACTGCCGCTTGTACCTCTTGAGCAGTACTACCGCTGGGGTTCGCGGTACTAGCGCTGGGACCAGACCACAGGGAGAAGGCAGCAATGGAGCCTTCAACGAAACGGAAAAGCTGAGAGGGTGCAAAAGGGATGTGTACGTGTTGATTCCACCCTAGCCTCATCAATGCGGACCCCCTCTTAATAGTACGGCTTTCCTACAACTCAAATCCACCGAAAAGAAACGTAGACAAATGCCGTCTTCAATAGTCTTCGAGGGGGACAAAAACCGTCTTGTGCCTAGTGAAGAAACGTCTGAAATACTCAAGGCACACGATTAGT